CTTATCACGTGATATAAACTAGCGTGGAATCTAAATCCAGCTATAATTACGTAATTAACACCCAGTCACTAACAAACTATTAACTACTCCGTACTAACAAGTCACTTCGCTTCACAAGGTCTATCTAGTGGCCTTCGGCCACCAAGGTTCCTTGTAGAGAGGATAATATTAATCTAGGTTATACTTCTACTTTAAGAATAATATTATAATCTATACTAGGTCTATAAGGTAGTAACTTATTAGATTTTTTCCTCAAAAAGACTTCTACTAGCTTATAGTATTCTTTTAGAAGAGTCCTTAAGATTTAATTAATTTTAGGGTCCTAGGTCTATATACTCTTTACCTTAATAATATAGTTAATATTATAGAGTGAAGTTATAAAGGTTTTAACTTCTCTATTAGCCTTTCCTTTCTTATAGAGTCTATTAAAGCTAATATCTCTAATAGTACTTATATTAATTATTAGTAATTTATCCTATTATTAAGTCTTTAACACTACTATCTTACTCTTATTATCTAGATTAAAGTCTATCTTTTCTTTTCCTTTAATCTACTAATATCTATACTATTATTCCTATATATATCTATAGTTCTCCTTTATTTTTAATTCTTTTTAGCTAAAAAGATAATCTTATTAATTAATATTAGCTTAATAATTAGGGTTTAGTTTTAGTCTCTAGAGAATAGTAGTTAGTATTAATATTACTATCTTACTTAATATATTATTAAAAGGAGTCTTCTTATCTAGCTAGATTATTTAGTATTAATAATAATCTAATAGGATATTATTATCTATAAACTATTTCTTTCTAAGGATTATATTATATTTTCTAAGATTAGCGATTAATATTAGAACTTACTACTATATCCTACTATCTATATATATTATAAGAAAGGTAGTATATATTACTAGCTTACTAAGCTTTCTATTAAATCCTTAAATAGGATACTCCTATCCTATACTTACTACTTTTAATCTAAATTATTTACTAAGAAGTATACTTAACTCCTAGTTTAAGAATATATATCTATCTACTCTAGTATTACTAAGCGCTAAAATAGAAAAAGAGTATCTTTTATATATTAGTCTAGTATCGAAAACTAAACTATCCCTAGGACCTCTAATTAACTTATATAAATCTAGTAAGTATAGCGATACCTTCTATCTACCTAGATAGGAGACTTAACCTAGGTATTAGCTTTTCCCTAATTATTATCTTTCTTATTATTAAGCTTAATAATATAGGGAGAAGGTTAAGCTATAGTAATAGTACTAACTAGCTTCTTCTTTAGATAGTTATAGGTTATATATCCTTACTCCTTATAGTTAAAGTATTAACCTTCTTCTATTAGGATATCCTACTTAGAGCTTAAGAGTCTTTTAGGGTTAGAGCTTTCTTTATATTTTGTATAGGGGTTATAGATTAACTTTATAGTTAATCCTATTCCTATATTACTATTAGGAGTAGTAGTAGATTATATATAGAAAGTAGTCTTTATCTCCTACTAGAGATTAATCTTATAAGATATACTCTAGTAAGTCTTAGAGAAGGATTTAAATATTATAGCTTCCTAATTAACTACCTATATTACCTAGCTCTATAGTAGGTATAGTAGCTTTAAGTATAAATTATACTTAGGGGATTGATATATGTACCCCCCCCTACCTGAAATAATCAGGCATCAACACTACCGCCTTCCCGATTGGGTGCGACACTGAATTCTGCCACAATTTCTGCCAGCTACAGAGTTTTCTGCCATATATTCTACCACCCCTATATAATTCTGGTTTACATAGTAAAAAAACATGCATTTTAATGAGAAAAAATCGTACATTTCATTAGTTTCTGTATTGATCTACTCTATATATTATGTATACTTCTTTTTAGACACCTCCGTCCGCGCGCTTCCGTCCTCGACCACGTCCTCGACCACCCTTACTAGCTTCACCACTGCCGGTTTCACTACTATCGGTTCCCCGTCCTCGACCACGTCCTTATCCTCGTCCTTGTCCTCGTCCCCGTTCCTGCGAAAGTATATATTCGAATCCTGATAGATCTCGCTGGGTGGATCGGTCCTAAGTGAGGGGATCTGGTGAAGAGAGGATATCCTAGGTGGCTTACTAGGTGGCTTACTGGGTAATGAAATTTCGCGCTCCTCGCGGACGCCCTTATCGTCGAATATAGAGGGGGTCTTAGAGTAGGAGTAATAGGTTAATTAGAGGTGCCTCGACGCTATATAACTACTAATACTAGTGGAAGAGAGAAGGTTTAAAACTCTTTTTCTCCTCTTTATATTACTTAATAAGATGGATACATAGGATCCTAGCTATCTACTTAGAGTTATAGTTATAAACTATAGGAATTGGCGGTTTACCTTCCCCTCCCTCTAGGAGATATCTTTTATAAATATCCTATATATCTTAAATTGCTTTAAAAGAGACTCTTCTAATAAGGAACTTATAGAGTGGGAAAACGGTGATTGGCCTTCGAATCTTATTATTCTTAATCTTATTCGAGAGTTTAGTAAATTAAAGCTTAACAACGCGCTTAAAACACTAGAAAATAACTAGTAAATCACTTTAATACCTATAGCTCCTACTTTAGGAGCTAATAGGCTAATTTAGTTCGAGAGGTAGTAATCTTACTAAGATAGAGATTTTAGGAGATATAGATATATAGAAACTTCTTAGGATAGTTATAAAGCTATTTATCTTCGATATACTTAATAAGAGGTTAGAATATTGGATTGTTATACTTCTCTTTAAAGTACTCCTACTACTACTCTATAATCTTAGTAGTAGTAGTATATATAACCTAGTTCTAGTACTTAAGTATCTTCTTCTAACCTTCGTTAATCCTTTTAGTAAGCTCCCTATCTCACTAGGCCTTTGTTTAACGCTAAGTACTAGCTTAGGTAGTTAACTAGGTAGTTAACTAGGTGGTTAATTAGGTAGTACTAGACTCACTCTAGGCCTTTGTAATCTAATCTCGAAGGATTAGATAGGCTTTTTTTAAGATATTTATATTAATATACTAGATATAGATTATATTCTTTATTAAAGGAAAGATAGTCTTAATAGTATTTATTAGTACTTACTCTTTATCTATAAGAATTATATATAGAGGCTTAAGACTAAGGGACTTATAGGCTTTAGCGAGATAATCAAGAATAACCTAGTAGGATTTATCTTTCTTATCTCTTATAAAGGCGAATCTAAGGTAAAAGGTTAAATATATAGTAGTAAAGCTAACGATATCTAGTAATAGTAGACTATACTAATTTATCTTATATATATAGTCTATAGAAATAACCTAAGGGTTTAGCTTTAGTATCGTAATACTAGTTTTATATATATAAAAGAGGCTAGTTATATAGTTATCTTTATCGACTTTATACTTAAAAATCCACTCTCTATTTTTAGGAAGCTCTATTAATAGTGCCTAAAGAGGTATATAACTAGTAAGGAATTCAATATTTAACTTCTTCTTAAAGTTATAGAGATTATAGGGTATTAGGCTAGAAGCTAGATCACTCTCTTAGAGTCTAGTAAAGATCTAATAGGTCTAGATACCTTATTAAAGCTAGGTTTATATCTTATCTTTCTTAGAAGTAAGCTTAGAGTAGCGGTAAATAGTATAGGTTAATAGAGGGGAGGGCCTATAGTTATACGAAGTATTCTTAACTATAAAACACTAAGTCCTAGTATTATACTAAAGATAGAGTAAGACCGCGAATAGGCACCTATTAGTAATTATTATAGTGTTCCGTATATAGTTCGTATTAGTATTAATATTAGGTAGCGTTCGCTATTAGTTATAGGAGAGCCAAATTATCTTCTTAACTCCTCTTTTTGTACATTTTAAATATCGGCTTATCACTATATAGCCGTAGACGCGACTATAATCATTAATTATAGTGATCCCGGCCTTAGGTATACTATACAACTGGTTTAGAGGGGGAAGCGGGATAGTAAAGAGGGTCTTAATACTTAGAGATAGAGATTCGATACTTAGTATAGCGGGAGACTGTGATTCGATACTTAGTATAACCGGTGGGGATAGAGAATCGGTGCTTAGTATGGTAGGAGACTATAATTCGATACTTAGTATAGCTAGTGGGGACTCAGGGATAATCTCTAGATCGGAATCTAGATCTGATTCTAGATATTTATGGCCTAGGGAGGCTATATTGACGGTTGAATTTAATGAATTTAGAGATAGAATTAACGAAGAAAGTGATAAAAAAATGGGTTTGACGAAGGTAGGTTAATATATATAAACCAGAATTAGAGTATCAATTTGTTTGATCCTATATATCTATAAGTACAATGTGACAAAAGTGACTTAATTTTGTTAGTGGTTTACATACAAATTATAGGTATCTATCGTCTTGCTAGTATTATATGGGTAGTTTGACACGAAGGCGGTGTGGATAGCGGTATATAGAAGCAGGTGTCAATTCAGTGTCGCACCCAATCGGGAAGGCAGTAGTGTTGATGCCTGATTATTTCAGGTAGGGGGGGGTACAAATAGCCAGGGGGGGGGTACATATATCAATCCCCTATACTTATAGTTCTCTTTAATTATAGTAGCTTCTTGAGTAAGCTATATAAACTTAGTAAGGAAATTAGTAAAACTATCCTTTAGCTTTATTATTAATTTATAGTATTTAGTATAGGCTTTAGTATATTAGTTTAGATTTATAAAAATAGTTTTTAAATAGATAATTATATCCTTAGTATCTATATAGGGATTACTTAACTTAGAGCTTATTTAGGGTCTAATATATAACTAGGCCTTCTCTTTATAATAACTCTATATATAAAGCTTATAGTATACTAGTAATAGGTAATAATTAATATTCACTTTAAGTTTCTATTAGATAATAGTTTCCTATACTTTAACGTATTTCACAAGCGAGTGGGCCACACAAGCGAGTGGGCCACCCCATCCAAAACGCGTCCATGAATTAGCACTTAGTCAATTCAACCACCCACTATGCCACCAATTCGCTCTCAATCCTCTATAAATTCAATAGAGCAAGAGGGTAGGCTTTTATTAGCTATCTAGGCTTTTAAAAATCGAGAAATTACCACTATTCGTGAAGTGGCACACCAATCTAAAGTCCCTCGCTCTACGTTACAACGCCGCCTCGCTAGTAATACCTTTCGTCCCGAAACACGCGCCAATAACTATAAATTGACTGAAACTAAGGAGGAATCTCTTAAAAAATGGATTCTCTCTATAGATTCTCGTGGAGTAGCCCCCTAGCCCTCTACTGTACGAGAAATAGTAGATATTCTCCTCGAAAAGTGTGGAACTACCCTAGTTCTTTCGGTCGGCGAAAATTAGGTTACAAACTTCGTTAAAAGACGTCCTTTTCTCTCCTCCCGTTTCTCAAAACGATATAACTACGAGCGTACAAAATATAAAGACCCTAAAATCATTAGGGAGTGGTTTAATTTGGTTTAAAAGATAATTCTTTAATTTAGAATCGATCCTAACGATATTTATAACTTCGATAAGACTGGTTTCGCAATAGGAATAACTATAACTACAAAGGTTATTATAAGGAGTAAATATTATGGTCGGCGTTCACTTTTATAACCTAGAAATCGAGAGTGGGTAACTACTATTGAGTGTATAAATACTTTAGGCTAGGCCCTTCCTCCGTGTATGATTCTTAAAGGTAAAGTCTTTATTAAATCATGGTTCGATGGCCTTCTAGGGGATTAGCGCTTCGAAGTTAGTCCTAACAGCTAGACCTCTAATAAAATTAGACTTTGTTAGCTAGAAAAGCTCTTTATTCCGAGTACTTCTTTACGTACGAAGGGGGTATACTAGCTCTTAATACTTGATAGCTATAGAAGTTATTTAATACCTAAATTTAACAAGATTTATAAGTAAAATAGGATAATACCTATCTATATACTAGTGTATTTATCTTATCTTTTATAACCTTTAGATATTAGCTATTTTACGGTGTTAAAACGATTATATAGTTAGATAGTTAAAATAAAAATGTGGACTAGGATTAACTATATCGATAAACTTGACTTCCTTGAATTATACCCCCTTACACAAATTAAAGCCTTTAAATTAGAGACTATTTAAAATAGCTTTAGAGTAGCTGGTTTAGTACTATTTACACCTAACTAAGTGATTTCAAAGCTTAATATTCGACTTCGAACCCCTACCCCCCTCTAAGCCGGGGGAGTGAATCGAGCCAGAATTTTATACCAAAAACACTAGCTATAGAGAAAGATCTACGTCGTTAGGCTTTATTAATTAAAGCTTTACTTCGTATAAGATCTCGAAGCCCACTAAGTCTATTAGATCGTATATTAAACTAGCTTATAAAAGGCTTCCGTCTTACAATACAAGGTACTATTTTACTCGCTAAAGAAAACAAGGAATTACGCGCCGCTAATAAGAAACAGAAGTAAAAGCGTACTCGATCCCGAAGGTAGATACCTACCGAAGAAGGCCTCTTAGTTTAAGAAGCTTCTCAATTAATTACTGAGCTAGTGGTAGTAAGAGAAGTACCCCCCCTCTCAGCGGAGAGGCCCTTCGCCAGCTTTGCAGCCCCATACGCGGGCGCCACTAAGGTATAGTGGGTGTGGAGAAATAGGGCATAGATTCAATAGATGCCTGGCTAGATAGATGATTTTAGTGTATTTAATTTAATGGCGTTTTGGTTGAGATAAATGTAATTAAATGTACTATGTTAGGTTAGGTGGCCCACTCGCTTGTGTGACCCACTCGCTTGTGAAATATGTTAAATCGGACTTCTTTACTATTACTAAGTATTAGAGTATTAGGTATCTTTATAGACTTATAGGTAGTAGTAGCCTCTATAATTAGTATACTAGTACTAATCTAGTTCTAGAGATTTATAAGGTAGAAAGTAAGATTACTATATTTATAGATAGCGATATCTTAGTAGGTAATTACCTTATCTCACCCTTAAGTAAGTACCTTAAAAATTATCTTAGTCTTAATCTTATCTAAATATAGGATAGCTAGTACGCAAAGCTAGTATAGTAAGGATGATTTATTACTATGGTACGAGGTGACTACCTAAGTTTGTGCGGGTCACGTGGATCCACGCTAGTGGTCCTAATAGGCGCCCCTCTTAACAAAGGCCTCGTCCCGAGGTCTATCTATATAAACAATAGTAATGAATATAATTTGGCTTAATCATATTCTCCGCCCTGATTTAGCTTAATCATATTCTCGTCTTCTTCGTCCCTCTCCTCTTCTTCGAAGCGGCGTGTAGTATAGAAGCTTAGTAATATTGCTAGTGTGGTGTGTGAGAATTCGTTATTTAGCGCGGCGATTTATTTCTTGATTATATCGTATCGCTCCTTCTCCTAGCGTTTAGCGTTATTATAGGCTTCATCTTCTATAACTAGGCTTTAGGCTTCCTTAATACGCTCCTCTATCTCCTTTGTCTCCTAGATAGGGTCTACGTTATAGGAGGCGGCTAAGTACTCTACGAAATTTTTAATATTCGTTATAACGTTAATAGCGTATATATCTAAGCTTCTAATAGCAATTAGCTATCCTTATAAGCTTAGGTCAATCTCCTTCGGTCTTTTTAGATCGGGGATATAGTTAGGTTTAGGCACCGGACTATTAAAGATATAACGCTTACCTTTCGATTTATCGTAGTTGTGGGATAAAGATATAGTCTTAGGGGCGTTAGGTAGGTTATTGTTTTAATAAGGTAGACTTTTAGTGGAGTCGTAATTAAAGCCCTTATACTTATACTTATTAAAGAAGCTATATAGGACTATATCTATCTTTCTAAGTATAAGATTAGGGTTACTACACTCGATATAATAACTAGAGATATCTATAAACTTAACTAGGCGGCTTTAGGTATTAGGGTTAATATTTCCTAGTAGAATACTTAGGTAATAATGATCTATACTAACTCTATCGATTATATTAGCTATAGTTTCCTCTAATAGGTATCGCCTATTATTCCTATAGGTATAATACTAGTATATAATCGTTTATAGTAAGTTTATAAAGCTTATAGAAGCGATAACCGGTCCTAAAGTAAAAATATTAGTAGACAATTTCACTATAGAGTTATTCTTATTCTATAGGTTCCCAATTTTTGTAGCGTAGGCTTTCCTAGTTAGTGGGATACCTCTATAGGCGATATAGATTAATAGTAGGCTATATATATAAGGAAGGGGAGCTAGATCTTCTAGTATTCTTATAGCTTAAATATAGCTATTCTAGTCAAAGTCGATTAGGTATTTATATCTATAATCGACTACTATTATAAACTTTATCGCGAGGTAGATATCTATATTAGAGATTTTAACGCTATTTAGTAGTTTAACCTATTTACTATTAGAGTTAAACGTTATATTCTTTACTAATAGAGCTTCTACCGCTTATTATAGGAATACTAGAGCGTTAAGCGGTTTAGGGTCTAGGTCCACGATAAGCTATATAACGCGGCCTCTATATATTCCTACTTTTTAGTGTTTATAGTCTTCTTTATAAGTATATCTTTCTATATTAGTAACTTATTTTATGATAATTACGCTATAAGCGGCTTTATCCTTAGTGGCGTAAGCGAGGTTAGAGTTTAAAAGGTTTAATTTAGCCTTCTTACTATTAGCTTTCTTATCTAAATATATATTAGATTATTTTAGCGCTATATTAAAGAGTAAGGAATCTAGAGTTAGTTTAGTGATAGAAATAAGAGTAAAATTATTTAGGGGTATAATATAGAAGTGAAATAAAGAGGAAGTGAAAGCTTATTAAATAGGGTAAGAGTTTTAGAGAGAAGGTATAGGAATAATAGTATATAAATTAGTAAGGGTTAAATTAAAGTGAGAGTTATATAAGAATAGAATAAGATTATAGATAGTGGTATAGAGTTTTCTTAATTAAGTTATAATTAAGGTACTTATACCCTCCTCTTAAAGGCCTTAAATATATTGTGGTAACCTTCCTATATAGCGTCGACCTATATATCGCTTACTAGACTATACCTAGTGTAGTATATATAGTACTCTATTTTAGTCACTCTAGTACTATCTACGCGTAGTCTACCGATATTTCTAGTCCTTCTATCTAGGATTAATTATATAGAGTCTAGACTAATTAGTGGTAGCTATATAGGTTCTAGTGTTCTTTCCTAGAGGTCCTTACTAGGTAGATTAGGCTTAAGGTACTCTACACTTATAATAGGGTGGATTAACTAGGAAGGAGGTAAGTCTAGTTTATAAGCTAGATAGCCCACTTATTCGAGAACTTTGAATTTTCCTATAAAGCGTTATACTAGTTTTTATAGTAGGTTCTAGTTAGTATAGATATCGTAACTATACCTAAGGCGTAGGTATATATAGTCCCTAGGTTCGAACTATTTATACAAGTGTGTCTTATTATAGTAATACTTTATTACTATAGTGGCGTAGGTAATACTTCGCTTAGTATTAAGGTATATAGTAAAGTCCTATTTAGTTGCTATAGCCTAATATATTATATCTATAGGCTATTTTTAGCTTAATACTATTTATTAGTTAGTAAGGTAAGTATCCTATAGATATATTTATAGATAAATTTAATATAGCCTAGATAAAAGGTAGAGCTTTATCCTACGTAGATATCCTATTTACGCTACTACTATTATTATTATTATATTTAGTATATTACTAGGTATACTAATAGCGAAGCGCGATTTTGATAGTCTAATTAGTATACTTAGATTAACTATTAGCCTAGGGGTGGTAGGCTATAGTATAGAAGAGGTCTCTATTAAGTAAAAGGAAAATAGCTCTCTATAATCCTTAGATAAACTTTAGATCTTAGTCGGAGATAATAGTATTTAGGAATCCCTATCTCTACACCACTAGAATATTATAATATATTTTACCTAGTTACTACCCTTCTAGGTTGATTTTCCTAGGATAAGGCTAACTTATTTTATAAATTTATCTATTATATTTAAGGCTATATTGTTTCCTTTCTTAGTTTTTAGTAGTATAACGATAAAGTCTATCGTGATTATATAGTATAGGATTATAGGTATTATAATTAGTTATAGTAGACTATAGAGTCTATAGTATAGAACTCTATTTTCTAGGTATATTAGACACTTCTTAATATAGTCTTTTAGTAACTTTACCCCTTTATAGAAGTATAAGCCTCTTATACACTCCTAATAATATTAGAACCCTTAGTGTATATAGCGATTATATATTAATATAAAAATTTCTTTTAATAAAGATCTAGGGAGATAT